TAACCTTTCCACTTGGTCATTTTGATCGTATGTGAAACAGTGTTGAGCCAACTTGCTGGACTGGGCATCGGCTAGAGAACGCTTCGAAATTTACCGAAAGCAACTGCATGTCGCTATCCGTCGCAAGTGTTTCTGTGCAGACGGACCTGCCTGAGATTTCTCGCCTTTTTGAAATAGTAGCATTCGCTGTTATCGTATCCATGTGAGACACTTCGGACCATTTTATATATGGATCGACTAGAATGAGGACGTTTTAGCGGTCGGTTTGACCTGCGAAGTCGACGCGACTATTGCACTATGGTTTCATATTTCTCGACCGTGAGTTGAGCTCTCAATTTTAGTCTTTCAAGTGTTGGCACCCTGTTGACCACGTTTGATTAGTCCCACCAACTGTCTATCCCTAAAAGATTAGTTAGCCTGACTACGCGCAAGCGCCTCCATCCGGTTGATCCCAGGATGGCCTACGTGAAACACTGAAGTGCGTCCTGTTGCAAGGTTTTTTGATGGCAACAGTTGTAAATCATACGCGGTCCACAGTGATGAGTGAATATCTTCCTTGATACTACGGCTGCAGTTCGGCCGACAAACATGAATTTGACCTATTTGTTCTTGCGATTCGTCACTCACGAGGAACTCGACATCTTACTCAAACACAATAGCGGTGGTGATCGTGTCTTTTTCCTCTTGCTGCTGAGTGTCAATGCGACGTGACAATGCATCTGTGTTTGATCCATGGAAGCCATCGACGGAGAGAATCTGCAAAATATAGGTGCCCACTATAGAAAGCGGTTTATCGTATGGCCGTAATATCCTTCAAGCGTTGACCATCAGGCTTTGTGATTCATCAAATGCTAGCAACGGCGTCCATATGGTACCTTGTCCAAAGATTATGGCCGCGTGTCTCTGGCTATCTAAGGATGGTTTCATTTGACCATTGTCAGCAGAAGAGCAGAATGAAAAATAGCTGCTGTGTATGACATCATCTACAGCAGCATGTCCATTACTTGTGCTGACGCTCCGCTGCCTTACATCTGTAATAACTTCGGGATTGAGGAATTCCAAGAGGCTGCGAACTAAAGTGCTCTAGGTAAACAATGAGAGCAAAGGTGCTTACAACAACACAGGTTCACAACCAGCTGTCAATCGGGATTGGCAAGACAGGTTCCTTGTGCTTTGTAGTGCCACGCGTCAAAATCTACTTAACTACGCATATCTATCGCATCTGGATTGTGTCTAATGTTGGTACAACTGTTTCCTTACCGCATCGACCCATTGAGCTATACTGGTTGGTGACCCCAGGCCCATCGTGAGATACTCCTACCAAGTTTGTCAATGATCAGAAATCAAGGGACAAACTCAGTCTCCTGGTCTTACACGTTGGGGGTTGGAAATGGGATGGCCTGCACTTCTGTAAAATCGAATCATTGCCATCTCCCCACTCTTGCCGCCATGCACCACTCACTGGATATTCGGGACGTTGATGAACCTGTTGGAATCCAGAAGCAAACTCCCTACTGGTTCTGAGCACGGTGTAACCAGATGGACCATCAGGCGGGAGATAAAACGGAGCGTGTCTGTAGACAAGGACCAATAAAGCTCAAGAAATAGAGTGGGCGCAAGCGGTATGAAATTATCTGAAGCTCCTCCAATGGATCAATACTACCGGTCCCAGGAGACTAGTCATCATTGCGACAATCACAGTTTGTTTTCACCTCTCGAAGGAGCCATGTTTTCATGAAGAGTTCAGCGAGCTGTCAGGCCCTGATCTCATCGCTATGACTTTCGTTCGAATTGTGCATATCAGTTCAGTCTCTTATATTTTCACCTTCTATAACCTGTACTTTTCTCCGTCCACTTTGATCATATTTCCTTGATGTGATTTGCCGAAAAGAGAACACTTGGCAGCTGCATTTTCTAACATTCAGAGATATCACATCCACCCCAATTCACAAAAATAAGCGCTGTCTCACTCGTTCGACTCCCTACTTCAGGGTTTATTTTTTGCTCAAGTGGCGCCACGCGAGCCATATTTAGTTAGTTTTGTGTAGTGATTTTCAACCTAGAGTAGTTACCACCAAGGGGATGTAACGGAATTTTAGGACCCAAATTAATAGCAAAATCATCTGTATCAAAACGTAACTCACTAATCATTGTCGATTGGCCATCAGTGAGTGGTCGGTGAATTAGACAATTATCAGTGATAACTTTTACAACCTTAAATTCGAATATAAGCTTGCAACGCAGCGTCGTTTGATGACGCCTCATCGGCTGGCTCGTTGTTCTTTTGAGTCAGGTTCTCGTTCACGGGGGCGAACTAGAGCTGAGTGAACACTAAGGTGGGAGCATAGATCAGTCAATCAGATCAAGGAGTGAACGAATGTTTACCACTGGAGGAAACAAAACACGCAATTCGTCTTCAGGACGTGTCGATACACAATAGTGATGGAAACTGTCATCCAAGAACGACTTGGAAAAGATGGTGCAGACAAATGAGAAACCACTGACACCCTGTTTTATCTGGAATCACACCTCAAAGCAAGGAACGGAATGAACTTGGATCACGACTTGCGATGTACATTAGCCGAAACCACACTAGATCTGTCAGCACCTGTTGGAACTAAGTAATCACAACGGCCTCATTGATTTTCATCACCTCTATATAATAAAAAATTGCTAACAATAGAGGTTTTCTTTATTTTAATGATCGATAGCAATTAGAATTGGTATTTATTCTCCGTAATTTAAAGCAAAATGTACAACATTGAGTAGTTAATTACCTTTCAAATTGGAACGTTTTCTGGGGTAAGTGTTTATAGTGAACCAGTTTTGTAGGTAACCGCATCACTGGTTTAGCGGCTCCATCCAAGACTGAGTTTCCTGATGCAATCGCAACCCTTACTTGCTTACAAGCTGCTGGTCCGGATTCCCTTGCAGGAGCGCTGTTTCAAGGTGGTGGTGGTGGTGGTGAGGCCCTCTGCGTAGCACTGATTGTGCTCAAACCAATCTGGAAGAAAGGGACCATAATTTCAATGTACAAGAAGAGCAGTCGCATCGACTGCGCTATTCGCAGGGGTATTAGCTTGACGCCTGTTGTGCCAAAAGTACAAGCCTCAATTCTCGCTCTTCAACTTACAGCGGAACGGGAATCCCGGATTAGGGAAGAGCACATAGATTTCCGTCCCGGTCGTGGCTGTATAAACCAACTATTCACTCCACGTCACACTTATCATTCTGTTTGAAGTACTTGCGCAGAAAGCTGTTCCCATGAAATGTGTGCAACGTGTGCCCAACACTAGAACACCACATGCTTTGTCATAGTCTACGGTGATTTATCAGATGTCTTTCCAATACATTGTGGCCTACGTCGGGGTTGCCTAATTGCCCCATTTTACTTCAACTTTGTCTTGCATGTCATCATAGTGTGTTCCCTTGCGGAATCTTACGATGCAAGCATTGTGGTGCTGGGGACAAACTTGTCTCGCTGTTTGATGGTGTTTACATAGCCCAGCGAACCCCGCATTACCTTTCTAGACTGGTCCCATTATTTGTAATGTGCTTCCCACCTTCAACTTGCAGTGTTGTTGCCGGATCACTAGGCATTCAATGGTTCTTTGACCCTTGATAGTGAGGAAATCGAGGTAGTTGATCAATTCACTTGGCAGCTACATAGCAGTGAAATCATTTTATTTGTTTCAAAAGCCAAAACTGGTCTTTTGAATCTGTGGCGTCCGAATCGTGTTTAGCTGGATCTGAAAGGCGCTGTGTAGCAGGGCACAGTGAGGACAGTCCTAATCTAACGAATTGAGAGTTGGCCTCTTCGACCCGAGACGCCTTCAAGTCTTCGTTCATCGTTATCTACAATGCATTACTGGTGTCTGACAACACCAACGTGTCCGCAATCATAATGTGCGTAGCCGAGTATGGTGATAATCAGGTTAGTCCCCCGGGAACAACAAATGACACTGAATAGGTTGCGTTGGCTTGGCCACGTACTACGCATGCCTGGTCACCGCTTACCGAGGAGGGCCTTGTTTTTTGCCAGATGTAGTATGGTGCAAGGTTCGTTGTGGTGGTAGTTACTTTGGCAGTCGCGGATGAAGCTGCGGACGATTAAACTGGGTGCCTTTCAGACTTGAGTCCATGCAGTTCGGTGTATGCTTGGTTCGAGACTTTACAGGACGAGGCTCTCAGTGGGCATCAGTGGCGCGTCTGCTATCGTCCCCTAGTCGGATTGCATGTTTCAAGTGTATGGAGTGCTTAGGTGTCTGCGGCTTAATAGCCGACTATTGCGCGGGGCTCTGAAAGTCCCAACGAATCTGTTCCGCTGCTGCCGCTTTATCTCTACATGATAACCAGCTGTTTGTGACTGTATGTTGTTAATACTAGATATAAGCGCCTTGGCCTTGAATGTTTGCTCAGGACTAGGTCCTACACTATCTTATCATCCTTCGTTCCTTAACTTATTGAAGTTTTACGGCAGTAAAGCAGAAGTTCAATTTACTGATGTGCTACTGTTGTTGTTATCCTTTCCTTCACATACAAATAGCCATCGTACAAGAGTTAAACGGGCATCCCGCCTAGAAGGACACGATTAGTAACAAACGGTTGACATTGACAGTCACTACCTTGATCGTTAGGCGAAGAATGTATTAAGAAGGGCATGCTTTCATGTGACCAAGGCTAATTCATTTTGCATAGTTTAACCGGCTCACGGATGGCCTGCACAGCCAAATAACAATGTGTTGGTCGACAATCTGATTCATTGCCTTTATGATTTGGCTATCGTGGCCCCTTCTTGCAATAAGGATATGGTCATCTCCGAATTTACTTGGCTTAGTACACAAAGTATGAACGGTTACGGCGGAGCTGTTCAATTCACAACTCCCGTTACTTTGAACCATCTTCTTTTTACTGTGTATGTGTGTGTGTGGTACTCGTAAATCGGCTGCTACGATTTTGCGTCGTCCACATTTTCCCTTCTCCCTGTCTTTCGGTTCCAGCATGGCCTTGATTAGAATCTTTCTCCTCTGGAGTTGGCATCGGGTAGCACTATTTCGCAAAGATGATCACTTCTTCGATCCGCGCCTTTTTCAAGCCAACGGAATCGAAGTTATTATTGATGTTGAAGTGTCCGAATCGGAGCTCACCTATGACGTTGTGCAGAGAGTGAGTTTTGCGTCATTAACTACCTGGAAGTTATCTCTGTTCAGGGATTCAGTTAAACCCGACGTTTCTGGTTTCGCTGCTTGTTTCCCAGAATTCCATCACTATTTTTGATATTAGTATTAGCGGTTTATTATTGTGCTTTTCCTGGTTGGGGTCCAAAAGACGGTGAACACCTTTGGCTGGATACACTTGCTGACATGGCAAGGATCCGACCTCAGTGACGTTCCTGCTGTGAGTTTCTTTGTCCCTCCTCATCCCGTTTAGCCTCCCCTCCACCTACGATCTCATTTCGTAGCCTACAACATAATAATTTTTCTTTTTACCTAGTAGCCGGCTGGTAGCTTACCGGAACGATGCCCATCCGTTGCTAGTAGCTCAGCTGGCATGCAACCATTGTATTTATTTTCCTTTCCCTTTATGTATTGCGGCACAGTTGCTGAGGTGTTCCCCACCTCTAGCTGACGTGTATAATGATGATGATGACTTGTTGTCGTCGTTCTTATTCTGTTCGATATCGGTGCTGCTATTGCTGCTGTTGTTGTCCTTCTAGTGATTGTATCGGTTGTATTATCGATTATGGTAGCACTAACAGTTATCTGCATTACACCGGTACGCAGTATTAACCCTTCACGGCCGCGCAACCACCACCACTCTTACGTGGGCTAATTATACTGCGAGGGTCGCCCCACGCAGGCTCGAACCCGCGACCTCCAAGTTGCAGGGCAGGCTTGTGATCCTTAAGGATACGGGCCGGTGTGGTTGCATAATGTACCTATTTGTCTAGTCCCACGAGTTCTCGCCGATGGAAGTACATCTCAAGGTGATCAAACTCTCGCATACTGATGCATCATAGACATGAAATCCATGATTAACCCATCCCTCGTGGGTATTTGTATCCGTGGGCTCTGCAAGGTTTCATCCTCGAGTGGACCTTTTGATGAGAAGATGGGCACTGCTACATCTCCGATGAAGTTTGCTCTCACACATAAGGTGCTCGCGATACTCTCGAACCAACTAGCTATCTGCTTAGGCTTGAAAACTACTGGCTGGAAGTGGCAGTAGTGACAGAATGTGAAAGGGCAGGTGTAATGCAAAATCGCGGGAACCGAGGCTCATCTGGTCCCGTTTTTTGGCCTTGACATATTCATCAATCGGATTCCATTTTCGTATGCGATTTTCAGTTCATCATTCGTTATGTACCACTTGTTGGGAATTCCGCTAGTTTCATATCTGACACTTCCTCTATGGAGCTAGCAAACTCTTGTACACCGCTTCTTGTAATCGCAGAAGGAAGGCATCCATTACCTTTGCCTCCAGTTGAGCACCGTAAGCCGTGTCTTTTCCGGATGTCTGTTTTGCCTGTCTGATTGAGTGTGACTGAACGAATCTCCATCGAAACTTTATTCACTTCTCTCTAGATATCCTTAGGCTTACGTGACGAAATCCACGGATGAACTCCTTTATATTATTTCATTTCTAGTATCCTTGCAGCGCTTTTCTTTGTATGAAACTTTGCTTACACTTCACTTGGTAGGCCTAAACTGTGTTAGCGTAACACAATCCATACACACAACGAGTATTCCAAGACCGATAATCCGTTTTATATCTTAATGCTAGATATCTCGTCTATCTGAGTGGTGTACTGGCTCTACACTCTCTGCACCCTAGTTTCAAGTTTGCATCCGTGAAGTTACCCCGAGAACGATTTTTCTCTAACGAGTTAACGCAGTTGGAAAGCACCAGCCATTGGTTATCTCTATTGCATTTCTGCTTTCGTGTATTTATCCCGGCCCTTGGAATGTTTTGCCCTCTAATTCTTTTGGCACATGGAAAACATCACTATACTGTACTCTGACTTAGTGGGGGAATAGATATGTGACCATGTTCACGCTGTCAGATCGTGCGCACTCTTCAGGGTCACTTGGTTCATCAGGATACAGTCCACTGCATGACTCAACCAATCCTCCGGTATATCGAGCGACCATCCGGGAATCAAGAACACAGTCTGAACGGTGATCAAAAATCATTATTAAAAAGAGTCCCGGCTTTTTGTAGACTATATACGGTTTCCCGCTGTCCTCCTTTTTTAGCTGACCCTTGTTAACTGCCCTGTGACGTTATCTCCATCTAGTTGGTTCGTGCTTGTTCATTAATTGGATTAATGCGTTGCCTTGGGAACTACTATTCTGCTGCTCTTGAATATTATTCCTTCTTTGCTAATGAGTTCGTCGCGAAAATTGAGGAACGGAGTTAACTCGGGCAGTTTTTTCTTGTCTTTGGGCCATCCGTTCACTATCGTCTGCTTCACTAGTCTTCACAGTTCGTCCTCCTCCATGCACTGTGTGGGGGCTGCTGCAGACGTTCCTCCGTGACGTCCATCAGCTGTATGTCATGAACGAAATCCTGGTCTTTTTCACTTCCGATTGTGCCTGACAAGTACACGGTTGGCAGCGTGTCTGCAATGGGCACTTGGGATCCAAGTCGTACTACTGCAGATGAAAAAATCCTTTTCAGACGGTGTGGGACAACATGGAGCGATGGAAACCAAGAGCTTGTGGTCGGTAAAGACGGTCGAATGTCTAATCCTTGACAGGCTCTACCGCATAAACCAACACGAGCATTTCTTTTTCTATTTGTACATAACGTCGCTCTGCCTCTGTTCGCGTCTCTTTACGAAAGTCGATGGCCTTGCCATTTTGCTTAAGTACGACTGCGATACCTTACTGAATGCCATCACATACCGGGTTTCGAGTGTTTACTATGAGATGCTAGGACGGTGGCGCTCGTAGTCATCTATTTGAACCCTCCTGCTCTGCGTCTCAGTGCCAATTCTTTTTGTGCGTCCATTTCCGAATCGGTATTTTCACCTGTCTATCTACGCATGAAGCCACTTAAATAGTTTGCCATCGCATTCAGCATGCTAACAGTGGGAGGAGGCATCACTTTGATAGATCTGCTCTTCGGAGCTTAGCACCTACCCATGAAACACCACTTGTGTTTTATACAATTTAATCTTTACTCTTTTAGCTTGATGTTCCTCTCTGAGCAGCGCTGCATACTTCGGTTAAGATTCTGCTCGTGCTCCTCTTGCGTAGCGCTGAAAACTAAAACTTCTGCTACATAGAATCTCTCTGGTAAATCGTCCATTGTCAGTCATTTTTGGAATATTTCACTAGATACTGTTGGTGCATCAAGCGGAAACACCCAAAAGATGTCCCCAACGTGGTTAAGTAGCTCGACTGGTCGTCAACGGATACATACCAAAATGCAGAAGCGAGTTCAACCTTTCTGAACATCTTAGCCTTAGATAACACCAAATGCACGTCGTCTAATTTCGGTGGCGTATAATGCTCCCTTCTAACCGCGGCGTTTAGTGGTTTTGGATCAATGCACACACGTAGTTCTCCGGATTTCTTAGTGACAATTGCTACCTGGTTAACCCAGTTGGTCGGCGTCCGAACCTTGTTATCACACTCAAACTGGCAAGACGCTGTATCTCATCTAAATTTTCTCACGCAAAGCACTAGGCCCCTTTCCTGTCGGCGAAACTACAGGCTTGGAGGATTCATTTAACGGCAAATGAGCACACCCTTCGAATCTCCCTACAACTCCGTTAAACCTGCTTGGGTACCTATCAGCAACATCTGCACTAACCTCACATTAATGCAAAATACAGAAAGCACAGTCTCAGATTGGAAGCAATACACAAAATGGGCAGGAGATTTGCAGATACTACCAGAAACTCCAGCTGGTGTTCTACTCCGTTCTTCGGATTAGTAGCTTTCAATATGGCGCTCCCCTTTGATTGTAGGCTTGAGCCGTTCCACATTCCGGCACAATTTTGCGTTCTGTTACCTGCCACTCTCACGCAGTGTTTCTCTAGTAGTATGTTAACAGTGGCTCCTGATTCCAGTTGGAAGCGTACGGGTTCTCCTCGAATTATGAGTGTCGCAAGAACACATTTAGGTACTCCACGCTTGTCCAACTTGTTTACTGAAAGTCCATGCATCGGTTCCTTTACGCTGTCACCCACTGACCTCGGCGGATCTGCAGCAACGAGAAAAGTGATTTTTCCTGTAATATTTCGTGCAAATTCGACCCCACGCCGGACAATTCTCTTTCCTTCTTGGATGTTTGTGACCGCGAAATTGACAATTCATTTCTTGTCCTCTTTGTGCCTGCGGCAAACTTGGTTCCGTGTAATGCTCACAGATCAATGTTTGCCTCTGCTCTCAGACTGCTAGGTTGTTTTTGCTTCACTGAGGCGGATGTCCACGTACTGTTCCAAAGACAACTTCCTTTGTCTCGAAAGGCGATGAGTAGGCTCATCGCTTTTTGTCCCGATAACTACGATCGCGTATTAGGGATTCCGTCAAGCAGTTGCAAAAATTGTAGGTGCGCGCCAACAGCCTCAGTTAAGTAATATAAGCCTCTAACAACTCTCCAGGCCATCGACTGCGACCTCCAGTAAGTTTCGTTTGCTTGTCCTTCACAAAACTCACCGAACCTCTCCAGCACTTAGTGAAGTTCAGCGCCTTGACTCACCTCCCTGAGCTCGAGTGTTTCCAGCACTCTCCTGGCTTCATCACCAACAGCGTGTCTGAACATGGCCAACTGGTAAGCCATCGGCCGGGTATTGAGCTTAATAGGCGTCGCGAAATCCATCCACTTCCTCTCCCACAGCCTACAATTTTTCGGCGACGAATTTTCCCTCATCTGCAGCGGAGATAGAAACGAGCTCACCGACTGCCCACCAAAAGCGAGCTGTATCCTGCACATCGGCTGCCTTCATATCGAGTGTCCCTTCGGGAATCAAGAAAAAACTAGGCGGTGATCAACAATCATAGGCTACACACAGTATTCTGCTGCCGTCCGTTTATTGGCTGACCCTTTTTAACTGTCCTACGACGTTATTTCCATCTAATTAATTCATGATCGTTCTTCAGTTCTACCAGTCTATGCTTACTAAATGCAGAGTTACGTCGAGCCTCGTTGTTGCCGTTCCGGGTAGGTTGCACGGTGGCATGTTATTTGTTATTCGTCCGGCCGCCTAGCTGACACAGCAGTACGTCGTTAAACGGGACTCCGGCATGGCCGTTCGCGCGATATACGGTTTACCAATTCGCTGTTTCTCTTGTGCGCTGGGTCCGACTAGTTGTGCGCGCTTGGCCTTCGTCTGATTGTCCCCCGATCCATTGGTTCCGCGACGATTCCCTTCACCCAACTTTACTGCCATCATCACATGACACACTTTCTTTTCGCTGGTCTCGGTCGTATTTCTTCCTTGTGTATTTCTCTGTGTAGCGCTCGCCCATGGCCCAATGGATCACAACCCTGTCTTGTGCTCCGAGGACGCTGGTTTGAGCCTACGTGTGGACCGGGCAACTCTTAGCCAACCTTTGACCGGTGGTGGTTGCGCGGCAGCGAAGCGTCGTTACTTCGTACTTGCGTACTACTGATAACTTTTTTTCCGTGTTTCGTCCTATTAGGACTCGTCAGTAGCGCACACCCGCCGAATCCTGCCGGTTTCAAACCCACGATCTTGCTCTTGCGAGCCAGCAACTTATGTCACTGATCCATGGGCGATGGCAACGGACCTCCATGGATGATAATAACGCTTAATAATTACTGTTCGTATTCTTTCGGAACTCGAGTGTGCAGTTTTACCCGCTTTATTACCATTGACTGGACAGCAGTATGTATGTGAATTCATACATCTCCTTTATGCTATTTTGGTTTTTTCATTCCTAATTAGATGATGTCTAAATCACTCGCACAGCACCTTTGTATATGCTCACATTTCATTACGTTGAACGTTTCAGCTCCCTTCGAACAACATCCTTTACACACACACACACTCCAGTTGGTGTCCAGTCACGGCACAACCTCATTATGTCTTTCTGTCCAATCTGTGTCCCACTCGCACGCTTCCTCTCCTCCTCCTCCCATTCGTTTACAGAATTTGAAAGAGATGCTGGAGCACAACAGTCGAATTTTCATCATTGAACATTTCGCACAAGGCACAGCAATGATCCTGTGTGCCGCTTATCACCTGAATTTGCATTTCGATGCTGGCTACGTGTGGTTCATAAATCCGTGGCTCGCAGACGGTTGGTGGCGTGCCGCAGACGTGCTCCCCGATCAATGCACTCTGAACGAGATGAACAACATCACCGCATGGACTTTCACAGTGACGCACCAGTTAGTGGTGGCTCCGATGCTTCACAGTTCTCTTCAACAACAACAGCAGCAACAACAGCAATATCGGTCACCCGCTGTCGCCTCAGTGAATCGCCACTTTCTCCGGCGCACTCCGCGGAACACGGATCTTAATCGCCTGACGCCTGATGACATCACCAAGCGTTCCATCCCAGTTATGAATACCGTCTCTTACAGCGGAAACGATTATGCAATCTACACGTACGAGTCAGTTTTGGTCTTAGCCACTGCGTTGATCCGCTTGCTACGTAGTAATCCCAGTGCTATATCCATCTTCGATTCTCCGGACGTCACAGAAATCTATCGGGATTTCGTCGCCAACATCAGCTTCGGATACCATGACTTTTGGGATGGCTACTCGGTGAATACAACTAGCTCGTTTGAGGGTCTCACCAGTTTCGTGTCCCCCGGGGAATTCTACAACACTGACCGCGAAGATGACAACATTGTGTCTTACCTTCGTTTCAACGACTTGAACGAACGTATTGCGGATTATTGGCTCCTGAAACAACATCAAGTGAATCGAACCATTCCCATAGTGATGATGTACGCGAAAGGAAACCTATCCAGTGACGCACTCAGTCGGTTAGACAGTGCGGCCATCCCTTCAGTGGAACAGTTCAGTCGATTCGTCACCGATCGGTGGCTAGTGCCAGCGTATTGGGGCAAAAACGACGGTATCCCTGGCGACGGATCCGAGAGTGGCGAAGATTGTACTTTCCATTTCATCAGCCACATGTTTGGCGTCAACTGCTCCACCTCGGTCACCATCTTCTCCATCGCTCTGGTCGTTCTCATCGCGCTACCTCTGTTCCTCTTGTTCCTTGTCTATTATCGACGGAAATTGCGGGAAGCCGAGAGACGCATTCGCCAGCCTTACGAAGAGCTGTGTGCCGAATTGGCAGATATTGACGTGAGTGTCCCTACTCTTTGTCTGCGTCTATCTGTTATTGTTTTACCTTTCCACGTTTACAGATCACTTCAAACGCATCTACCCGTCTCCCGCTTACTCAGGACCGCTATCAGTGGCGTATTGTGTACGACGTTTTGTCCAGTTATAAGAAATTAGCAAAAAGGAGTAGGGAACCTACAAACATCTATCGTTTAAATGAACATGATAAGCAACACGCTTCCCTGCGGCCTTGCCATTGCTCAGCATCCTGCGCACACTCCAAATGGATGCATCATCTTCGGGATGATACGAACTACGTACCATTAACACACTAATCACGTGCCATTCCTTATGTTGTTGTCTCGACCTAAGCTGGTCACATGCATTTCGGCTTGGTCAGAGATGTACAACCGTCATCCGGTTTTGGATGATCGGCCATACTTTTTTGGCCATCAAGCTTATATTCATTCCAATCTAATGTCAGGCCGCTTTTAATTCGACTAACTGACAAATTTGTTTCTCCTCAGACAAACCCAATTTGTTGCATCACATAGATTGGTTTGGTGACTAGCGCCCGTTTCTTGTCTCTTGGATGAGAACACACACACACACACATCAAACGTGAATCATGTACCATTCTCATTGGGGATTAATCTGTTCAAGGCGACAGATCCACTAATCGAATGAATCAAATTTCAGGGATATCGAAGAGAGTCATCATCACCATACTCATTGCATTCCTATTTTTGGTCTTAAGGAAACCTCCCTCTAGCATAAGAGGTTTCGTACCTCCATGCTTTCCGTTGTAGCTTTCGGAGCACGTAGACTCACTTCATTTGTTAATGTTTCTGCCAAGATGGTCGATTATCTGATATTCTTAGTCATCGAGTATCAAAGAGCCGGTAAATGATTGACGGCCTTACGATTGCATTTTGCACATAGAAGATGGAAGTGCATGTTGCTCGGGAGGGCGCATCCGGGACTGACTGCCGTTTTGCAGCTATTCTTGAACAGTATACGGAAAAATGAGAACTGAATCTTATCGCCCTTTCGGAGCGGGACTTCAATATTTGTATCTGGGACTCTTATAAAAGAATAGTGATGGAGTTTTGGGATCCACAGCCGGTCCGTAGCATTAGGGATCACAAGCCCAGCTTGTAATCTGAGGGCGCGGGTTCGAGCCTGCGTATGGACTGGTCGACCATCGCAGTGTCCTTAGTCAACATGCGACCGGTGGTTGTTGCGCGGCAGCGAAGCGTCGCTACTTCGTACCGCCGTACTGCTCATCCCTTCGGGGCAACACAAAGTACAGTTGCGGGAACGAGGCAACTTTATCTCACTCCGTTTGCAATCGTTAAGCTGCCGAGAAACCCACTTTTGACGACTAACTGGGCGAATAGCGGATATCCCTTTTTTGCCTATTCATCAAGCTTGTGCCTTTGTGACTCAGGTGTCGATTTGGGCCAGCTTCGACTTCTACTGTGGTATAGGTTTTGTGAGTTACGTTTGTCCAAATCAATAACAACTTAGAACTGGATGGTTTCTGGACGCAGACCACGAGGTCATCTAACTAGGTCATAAGCAGGACAGCATGCGGTCTTGCACAATTACACTCTCTGCTTACTTCCGGTCACATACGTTTGCCGGTCATTAGTTGGGCCTTCGCCCACCAGTTGCCACTGGTAACCAGCTTCGCCTTACATATCTATTTATCGTAATACACTCAGTTTTTGTGGTGGCAACCACAGGCACTCAGTAGCGATGGTTGGCAACTGCTAATGCCACTTCAGTCGAGCGATTGAGGTTAGTATTGTTCGGAAGACTCTGGTTGTTGGCATCTTCATCTTACCGTTGTCAAAACCCGGCCAGCTGACTCATGCTCAGTGGTCTGCGGCAGCAGGTATCCACTGACCATTGAACGTTGCTGCGTTCGAGAAGCACCCGGTGCTCCCTTTTGCTTTGAATAAACGAGATTCATTAGTCTACTAATCGCTGCTCCTTCGTAATTGTGTATTTATCATTCAACTTAATTTAAGAATCTGCCCCTGGATTCAAAGCATTACATGTTTTCGGAAATAGTATTCGTATCCTGTTGCTACCACTATGCTATGTTCTAGATGGCGGACATCATAGTGTGTTGAAATATTTATTGAAGAAGCGCATAACACCAAGTGAAGTTTTCAGAAGACCGGTCGTATCATGGTGATAAATTGCTCCGTCGTGACTAAACATTTGTATGGTGGAAGTGTTTCAACAATGATGGGTTTTTGCTCACTCACGATCTTTGTATTAGTGGATCCTGAACAGCCTATTGACAATCGTTCCGTAACTTGTTCTAAAAACACAAGCACGTTTACTCTTCCATTGTTCCAAGACGTGAGTACCACATGAGTTCCAGTACAGTTTTCTGTCTCTAATTGGCACACACTAGTCCACATCTGTAATCTGTTGTAGGGTAGTTGTGATGTGAAAAGCGGGCTTTTCTTTGTTCACATTATCACATCTTCCCTGTCTTAGTGCCATATGCCTTTTGCCTGTATAGTCTCCCAACAGAATCTGTTTATAGACATCTCCACAGTGATAACGAAGGAAAGTTGGGTGTCCCAAAGCGGTTCAGGCGTAATGATTGACCTTTATGTTGAACCCTTCTAAGCAATCATGAAACACTGAGATAAGTGTGCCACTATGTCAGGGGACTGCATTAAAGAATAGACGCAGTCTTAGTGTCCTGCAAACTGTAACTTTCTTTATTAGGCATCTATGGGATTAATTTGAATGCTTCTCATTCATGTCTCAAGAGCTTTATCGAAAGGAGATGTCTTAGGGATTGCTTTGAGTTCATTTTGACCTACTCGTGTGGTTGGATTGTGACGCGCAATCTCAATGTGGACTGCGTTTCAATTTGAAGTGACCCGTGGTCAATTCGATCATTAGGATCGTAGCTGGAATTGAGTGTTGCCCACCCGAAAATACGGCACTCCAAGACGCGTTTTAACCTTATTTGATCTTATCAGTTCGCGATAGTATGTCTCGATCCCGGGACCATAGGGATGTTATTTGGGGCCTCTGCCTCTTTATTCAGCGGATCGTGATGGGTAACGCTTGAGACAATGGTTAATAACTGATTGGAAGATCATTTCGAATTAGTGGGTGTGACCCGGTGACGAAAGTAGTAGAGATCCCAATTGTTCGTGGTTCGAGGTCTCTATCAGATGATAACCGCATAAAGTGTCAGCGCGTCTTGGATTGCTGTGCTTTCAGATGCGTAGCACTCAGTATCCTTCTTAGGGATCAGCTTTCTTGTGTTTGGACCAACTCTGAGCACCCAAGTGTCATGAAGCACCGTTCCGCCAATTAAATCGTACATGATGAATTTATCAGCTAATTCGGATGCTCCCTAGAAATTTCAAAACCAAATTGTAACTAACCTGTGGTATTAAGGGTGTTTCTTCATCATTTGGCGTTCATTAACAGCGAAATACTTACCACTGATATGACTGCCGATATCCAGATGTGGCACACTTTTCTGCAGTGGCTGGAATGTCGTTTCCATTCTGAAACACCCATGCGAGGTTTATTGCTTCGATGGGTTGTGTTACTATAGCACCGCGCGCATTGTGTACATGGCTCCTGACTCGTTGTAGTACCCCTGGGGTTCCTGGTGTAGGCTGTTTTACTGACTCACCCTTGTGGTTGTTGTTCGATCGTTCGTTTTTGACTGCTTCTAGCCCCCCTGATGTACTCCAGAGCTAAATCGGCGCTTTACATCTCGCAATATCCCGTATATGAAATGTGGAGAAAAATACCAGCACCATGTTAAAGCAAGTGTGACGCGGTCACTTGCAAAGCAGCAACTTCTTTTGTACTCTTTACGTATTCCAGCATTGAAGTTACTCGAAATTTATCTCGGCTACTTTGCTACACGACGATGTTGGGCATGCAGGGTGCGTTCAAAGCACTTACTTTTTCAACTTCGATCTTCCACCTCACAGACTTTCGTCGAGCACAGTCCAGTGAACCTCATACACAGACTTGTTGAACACGTTTATAGCACACGCATTCTCATGGTACTACGCGTGCAAAGCAATCTATACCAATGGTGGGTGCACCGGCAAACTTTCGAAATACGCTTAGTGGTAGTGGTTGTAGTTGTAGTAGTTGTTGTTGTTGTGTTAGTGATTCGTAGTATTAATAGCTTTGGTAGTTGTTGTGGTATCAATAACGCTAGCTGTGTCAGTTCTTCTAGCAATGCTAGTCATCGTTTGGCGTCTTTCAATGTCCGTGTGATCGTCAACGAGGCAGAATGTGACGCGCACCGAGAACGCGTGGCTCATCCGTTCAGTTTCTTCGAGTATATTTCTCTCTTCACCGACTGTTTCGGGTGGACAGTTCGTACACTGTAGATGATGTTATCACAGCCTGACAGTTTACTTATTGTATCGTTCATCCGCGTACGCATTGACTTCCAGGTCCATCCCACTTCTGTCTGTAGTCTGTCACGGCTTTGTCTACTCGAGTTGTTTCGACGAATCACTATCTGTTGTTTTGTATCTGTGCCTTTTTGAATGGTTCCTGCGTAAACTCTCACTTCGCACTGGTCAGGGGGTTCGATAAATAATCACAACTCTCCACCCTTACATCAGTCCTGCTACGTCTCTGCTTTATCGAGCATTTTCCTCATATGAACATTTTGCTTCTCAGCCCCCAGGTTGCTACTTTGTTCAAATAGTAATATTTTGCTAAAATTTAACCCGCTTGGCTATACTGTTCCGTATTTTTGAAATGGAGCGTGTGCACAGCGGTTTCGTGTTGACTACTATGGAGCAGATGGAAGACGTTGTTATTTTTTGCCTTTTTGTTTTCAAATACTTTTTAATCGCATTCCTTTTGTTTGCCACCTGATGAATCACTTTTTACAGATCCCATCAGCTGATGTCGTTCTCAATCGCAGAGTTGGTCAGGGGGCTTTCGGTATGGTTTTTGGCGGCGAGGCTAAACGCAAAGGCACTTGGGAGGCCGTCGCTGTCAAAGTGATCAGTGGCAAAGCAACCTACGAGGGTAAAAGAGATTTTCTTTCTGAAGCCAAACTGATGCGCGAACTGGATCACAAGAATGTTGTTCGCCTTGTGGGGATTTGTTTGCGTCCACGTGAGAGCCATCTGTATTTAATCATGGAGGTCATGTTGCTTGGGGACTTGAAAACCTACCTTTTGTCCCGCCGCGTTACCGCTCAACAGTGAGTTTTTTCCTTTCTGATTCCCTGGTCGCTGTGTGATTGCCAGTCTCAGTCTTGTGTTTCGTTTCCTTGAGCCACACTTATCATCGGTCCATTTTTGTGGCATGTAGTGTGATTCAGATCTCCTCAACATCGCCACCTCACATAGGCCGTTTTGCTTGAGCCAAGTGACTGCATTTGTCCAAAGTTCAATGTCATGGCACACATTGGCTTTTCCTTTTGGCTGCTTTCTTAAGCTTTTTTCCGCACCAAACTAGTTGTAGTCAGTGTTTTTAGCAGGAACTCAGATTGCTGTTCCTAACGGCCGACGGGTGCAGATAAACTTTCATTTTGTACAGTACCCTGTCGTTCCAGCTAAGAGAACGAAAAGACGCAGCACACGATGCGGTTACACAGCAATATGTTGTTCCGTTCGAAGAATCCAACTCAACATGCATTTCCACGTTCCGCACCGATCTCTTAAGTGTACAATGATGTAATACTTTTTGGTTAGAATTTTACACAACGGACTCAAGCAAACCGGGGGAAACTTCAGACTGCCACAAACTCAGACGCAACGTAGAGTTTCCGAACAGTGTGTTTTCATGTGGCTAAATCTAGTGTCCTTGTGTCTTGTAATGCTCTCAGTGCGTTAGTTGCTGTTTTTCTTTTCTTGATTTGCTTATGTCATACATCCGCCGTTGTGTACTGCTCACGCTAGCCTCTTATCCCTTCGCACTACGGTTTCTAATGTGCGCTGATCATTCAGCTGTCGGGCAGTGAGTAGCTGCCAAGTACCTGAGTCAGTTGTCCCATCTTGGTACTTGTACGGAATCATTGTCTTCTTCGACAATTAGTTTCTACTCTGATCATATTGTTGTTGTGTATAGGGGAAATTTGTTGGACTCGGCCGGTGCCCGAGTGGTCTGCACGCCTGGCTTGCAATCATAAGGTCACCGGTTCGAATCCGCATAGGGGTGGGCCTCCTCGCGGTATACCGGTGGTGATCGCGCGGCAGCGAAGTGCCGTTACGGTGTACAGCTGACACATTGTTATTACTATTAGTATTATTATTATTATATTACACGTTGTTTATTTGACACTTTGTACTCCGGCCTTAAATGTCTAACGTCAACGATACAGGAATTCGCCGTATCCGCTCTGACCGTTTTCATTCCTTGGATTCCGTCTCACGTTCTCCCCAGAAATCCCGATCATGAAGATATCAGACCATCCACTCTGACTCAGATGGCTATCGATATCGCAGAAGGTCTCGCTTATTTACACCGGAAATTTCTGGTTCATCGTGATATTGCCTGTCGCAATTGTCTCGTGGGTTCCGACAGAACTGTCAAAATCGGTGACTTTGGTTTAACAAGGAAGTTCACGAATCCCGAAAACGAAGGTTATTATCGATTTACACGAAACTGTGAGTTCACTTGCTGTTTGCCTTCTCTCGCTGCCCTTATTCGCATCCTCCTTCGTGATCTTCTGACCACCATTTTAATAGTTGACACTCCCCGAATGAACTTTCGTCCTTCTGGTCAATCCGCAGCAAACACTGTGACTACCATCGCTGCCACTTCATTGCTGTCTACGCAGTCACGAGTGCGGACGCCACGAATGCTCCTTCCCCTGTTACTAGATATTGCGTTGCGAGTTCAGCTTGTAATTGCTGCGCACCCTGTTTTTGACATGCTCCCAAACTGGCGGTACCTCGGTTCCGTGTCTCATCCATAACCTTTGTCCAGTTACTCCGTTCCTTGTTTCGACTCACTCTATTGCCCTCCTTTCCGTTTGACGATTCTCCGCGCTTTGGGGTTTCGACCACCATCGCCTGCGGAACATCGCTGATATTGCTGGGCTCCATCGTGTCCACAATTATGCGATGCTTATGCATATACTATTAGGTTTCCCGAAATCATTTGGTCTTTATAGCACATTTCTCAATCAATATTTATCCTAAACAAGCTCATCTTTAATCATTATGACATCCATTGGGTAAGGTACGTTTCCATGTGGTCATCGATCTCCCCTTATCCTTATTGTGATGTTGCGTCGAGTGGAAGTTGTTGTAGTCAGGAAGAGCAAGGTCCACGCCATATTCTGCATGAAAAAGATTTTCCATACCGAGCTCCTGAATCTTGAGACGCATCGTCTTTGCCACATGAGCGCATGCGTTGCCGTACAGCAGAAGGATTCGAGCTGCTCTTGAACGCTCTTTTGGATATTCGTCCACCATCCTTTTTAGTTGTTGGCAGTAACCGTAGAATTGTCAGATAGCATTCCCACTTAGATGACGCTGCGGTGATTCCACCAGACCGACAGCACCAATTTTTTGCCGTGAAGTTCGCTTTTCGGAACTTGTACTGGCATTTTATCTGCTACGATCCACTGACGCTTCGTGCTATGGTTTCATCTTCAGTAACAATATCGTTCAGCCATCGATGATTGCTCCCTCGGTTGAGCAATGAAAGTGCGATGGCACAACGGTTCAAAAGTTGCCCATTAGTTAATTCCTTTGGTACAAGTTATCGGCATTTTGGGACCATACTGAATTGGCACTGATGGCAACGAACGGTGGTTTTTGAAAGGTTAAGGTGCGACGAAACTTCACGCACACTTCGTTTCGCATTCTCTGGGCGTCCCGGATATTGCTAACAAAGTCCGCTGGCTTGCGTCGTTGACCTCTGAGGTTTGGCAATTCGTAGTTCTTTACTGTGAATAAACAGAACCAAGATTTTACCATACCTTAACTTGGGCCATCCGTATCTAGTACGGCACGCACGTTCCGACAATCCTCGGCCGCTTTGCACCCTTGTAAGAACTCGTACTACAAACATCCGTAAACAGTATGTCTATCATTTGCCAATAACGCGAGCATTACCAAAATGTAGAATAAATGTGAGGTAATTTACCATCGCCCTTTGGACATCTGAAAGACAGATACTTCGATCCATTGGGAAGTGACGAGTGAGTGAGCCAATCTGCAACACCAGGACAGATACTGTGAGCTCATTAGCAATACGTCGCGCGCCAAGCAGAAGTCATATTGTCTTAGTATCCTCCGTTATATACTTATGTAAAAGAATCTTCTGGAAGCTTTCCGAAAATTCTGGAATGGCACTGAAAAGCCAATTGATTTTGGGACGACCTAATGGATAACAGAGCAACAAAGATAGCAGGGTTTCTGCCTTGGCTTTGGCATGTACTACCTTCTTTCAGAGTTTGACGTAAACGCTACTTTTCCAACCTTATCCCAGCTGCTATAAGGCTCGATGCGAGCAATCATCAACCTGGCCGCGGAAAATGCAATCACTGACCATTTAGTTGGTATTTGCCGATCCTCCCGGCTGGATTTCACAAGTCCAACCCAACGCTTATTCTGATACCGTACATAACATGACTCGCAATCGGCACTGGTACATTTGCACTCGGATCCTAATCTGAATACCGGTTTAGATTTTTTTGATTTAGCCTCATTTGTGAAGTATACATAAATGTGTGACACGGGGCAGTAGCGGCCACCAACGAGCCGTTTCATCGATACCACAGAGTTAGCTGAGGGGAGAAGCACATTTCGGCTAATGTGCCGCAACACAACAAAATCAGATACTAAAAATTACACATTACAAAAACTTCGCAAAACAAGTAATATAGTGTTAAATATCATATTATGTCCTTTGTTATGAAGTTCTAATTAGTAGAGTACTCTAAAGGGAAGGGAGATGGATTAGGAATCTCACAACACAAATGCCAGCCACATCAGCAAATCTGTCCAACCAAACGTGTTCACTGTTTTGCGGACCCCTACCTAGCAGCCGGGAGGCACCAACCGACGCCAACTTCGAATTGAGGGTTTTCATTCCTCTTGACCAGTTCATCGCTTGACCTCCCATCCTCCGGACTACGGTGACGCAAACAATGCACGTCGCAGGAGTCGGTGCGCTGGCATGCGCCACAGGTGGCCAAACCATCGGAGTCTGGTGCGTGAGATCGCGATGCTGATCGGTTCGCTCGCTCTTCGTGCACCAAATACGCGATGCGGAACACGCTCATTGTTCACGCGATGTTTCCACCAGACATGAGCTAAGCTGCGAAGACAGCGATGGTCGAAACTAGTTTATGTCTGTCGATTTAATTTGACTGGTTTCACAGCCATATGGGTAAGCTGAACGGACGGGTGCATTGTAAACTCTGACCTTCAGGGCGATATTGATGTCACGGCGGTTGCCAAAAACGCTTCCTGCTTTTGCTATACGTTTCGACCCCCGGGCGCTATTATAGCTGCCCTGGTGCTTGAATTCCTGGCCGACTTCTGGCTTATCACCGAGGGTCAGCGCAAGGCTACGTCCCTTCCAATCTTGGAGAGTGACTTTGCACATCAAAGAATCAAAGCGAAATCCAAAACAATCGATGACAACTGAGTACAGCCACCATAATGCTCCATGTTTGCCTAAGCATATATGTTGTACGCCAGGTCCAGCTTTTCCACAGGAGTATGCTTCCTCGTCATTAGTATGGCTGAACATCAGTGCAAATTACTACTGACTCATTACTGTTTTTGTTTTGTTGTTCCGGTATTGTAATTCCCCCCTGTCGTTTCGTGTTTCTATGAGCTTCTCCATTCCTACTCAAACATCTGGGTTTTTCCATTATTTTCCCTAAACCAAGATCGCTTTATTCCCACCCTTCATTCTTACCTTGCTTCGGCGGTTTTTCGGCTTCACGCCCATTCTGATTGCCATGGTGCATTTTTGGTCTGGTTATTTGGTTTATATCGTCCGTTTAGCTGTTCATACACTTCACTCATGGCACATTTCTTGTGATCAGGTGAGTTACCCATCCGATGGATGTCCCCTGAAGCGGTGCAGTTTGGCGTATTCAGCGTACACTCTGACATCTGGTCTTATGGTATCGTTCTCTACGAGATCATCACGTTCGGCGTGTTTCCGTACGACGGCCTCGGTGATGTTGAAGTGGTCGAACGCGTGAAACAGATTGGTTTCAACATTTTGAACTTCCTACCACCCGCGGCTCTCAATACTACTGTGTAAGTTTCTCCCAGGCTGAAAAAGCTCTTGCTTGCCATTTGCACTCATTTCTGTACTTTTGATGTTTACTGACAAATTTATTTCCAAGGGGGTATTTCGTCAACATGTACTTCGATCGCAGTGTCCCATTTATGAATGTGGTTCTTCGAGCTGACGAACATATTTTACCCGTAGTCGCACATCGTGTTTCTGATCCGCTTTGGCTTGAAAACTATCACTCTATTCACTGCATTTGTCGTATGTCCTTTTTTGACCCAGCATCAGCAGTGATTCCATATGCTTCCTGCGCTCCCCATCGTTTCATGTGATTATCTGTCAATCGAAAACGGTCATCTTATGATCATGAGGTCTTGAGTCACTGAGTGTGGGCAGTTTTTCTCAGTACATATATCTCACAGCATCTCCTAACCTGCATAATGTCGCGCCACCACTTTCTCAGCGCCGGCCTCATCAGTCAGTGTTGTCAACACCAATGGCAGCATCGCCCAGTTTCCATGGTTCCTGTCATCAAACGATTGCGGGAAAATCCGGACTGTGTTCGGCCTTTTTTGACCGCGGAACCTCCGAAACCGAATCGCGCCATCGATGCTCTTCCCGTGAGTGACATCACGTTTGTTTCTTATGTTACTTACTTTGTAAGTTGTGCAAGATCTTTGTGAAAACAGCGAGACGTACTATAGCTGTCATCGTCGGCGACCTGTACTGGCGCTGCTGCAGCGGAGTGTTGTCCAATTAAGCCATCAGTTTTGGACCTCTTCCATTACTTACGTGCTTTTAAACTAACGATCTAGCACTGATCACTCTGTTCGATTGCCCCAGATCGGATTCACTCGACCACTTTACGAAACCATGTAAATCAGGACTCCGTTTGTTAGACATCATAGATTACTGTATCTTGGATGATCTCATTAATCTAAAAGGAAGGGTAGCAGACGGGTAAGAAGAAGGGAAAACCCTTAGATTACAGAAGAGTAGTAGGGGGAAGTTGAATGGTTGGTTGAGTTCTGCGGACTGATAATATATTTCATTTGACTTGCTGAAGGGAAGTGCGGTTCGAAATTATATGTCTCTGATCTGCTCTACAATGCGGCTAAGTAATGTTGGAGCTTAATTAAGGAACTCCAACGAAAGCCCATTCTGATTGTGTACTGTTTACGAAGAATATTATCATGCCCACTTTCATGAGGCTTGTCACACGGTTTCGGTTTGTTTTACCTAGAGATAGTATTCCTTTTTGGCCGGTTATTGTGACATATTGTCGAACACGCGCGGTTGCAGGTGCGTTTTGACGGGGGGGAGCTGCAATTACTCATCCCCGACATTGCAAGTAACCCCGAAATTCTCCACTTCGGATGTTGCCCCAATGCTTCCAATTAAATCATTGTGCCAATTAAGCTTGCATTTTGCATTCCAAACACACGGCGGAGAGTACTCCAACAACCAAACAATAAATTCTGATGGACTTGTATCTTTTTAACCGGGAGCCGCCTACTTCGAGGTGGGTCTGTAACTCGTAACTACTGTTTCTCGTGCTTAAATGTGCGGAGAAAAGGGCCGTCGACACCTGATCAACCTTTTATCAGTAGTCACTAATATGTGCTTTAGTGTATTTTAATATACTCGTCTCAACATCAGTGAAAGATAGGTCGTTCTGTGTTCCAGTTAGCTTGCAAAATATGTAGCCCAGCCGACTTCCTCCCATGACTCAGTGGCTTAAGCTGCTGGCTAGTTGGCATCAGCCCCTATTGGTCATGGGTTCGATCCATAATGCCTAAAGACATCAACAATAAGGCGGCACATCATACCGTCACTTCGCTTTCGCGCCACCACTGCTGGTCGCACGGATTTGAACCGGTGACTTCCAGATTGCAAAGCAAACACATACCTCTTTTCGGTCACGAGATAGTGATGCTTTCATGTATAGTTGGAGTTACGATAACTTGCTCCCTGATGTTCCCCTTCCTAGAACGCGTTTTCACCAAATGATTGTCTTCCTAGGATATCACAATGCCAGTGTATCAATTATGTTTGCTCTGATCCCTGCGCATATCGATAGATGGTCAATCCTTCGTAACACAACACAAGACGGATAGGTAACACACTAGATTAATGTGTGACAACATGTAAGCGGCTGTTGATTTCCTTAGCAGTGCAAATTCAGTTACGAGATATGGCCATCGCCTACGTGCTGCCACTGTTGCTTGAGGCTGGTTGTTCTCTTCTTCTATCTCACAAGACAGATCAAATGTAAAACTGTTTGGAGGCTCTGGAATGAAAGATTGGTCTGAGGGTGTGGCAACTTCACAATTTGATTATAGCCACTTAACAAGAGCTGTGGGCTCCCGCACCTTTGGAGTCGTCCTAGCTCTAACAAGTATTCATCTCCATAATTTATGTAGAATTTCTAGCGGTTCGATGGTTTGTTCTCCTCACCGATTTGGTTACACAAACTACCGGAGTCAGTCTGATTCTACGGTACCAAAAACAAACTCTTGATGGTCCTCTTAAAGGTTGTCCTTACTTTCATCGCTCTAACTATTCTCCCTTTCGCTTGTCCACATTCAACTCCATCAAGTCTCTTCTGAACACGCCATTGGCTTCATTAGCTTACTTTACGGCAGCGCACTCTAAGTATTCTACGCCCTTCATTGCTTATGTATCCACGAACGCGATGACCGGATCATGCTCGTGGCCAAATTTGCTGTCTTTAGTTTGCTTGTATATCAAGACTCGAGGTATTTATACAACTTCGCGACGCTGATTATTAGGTCACTTCTCTTGCTATTCATGATTGCTCTGTTTCCTAATGCGGTATCGTTCCACTCACGTGCCTATCCTTCGTCTTGCTTTCGATCCATTTTGGAAACGTATGTGTGTCTAATTCTCTCATTCCTTTCGTGAATTCTTTTTTTTACTATTGCAGTTTCAACCAGGAGCTGGTGCATGCATGATGTCTGAAAGTGCAGTGGCTCCTGAGGGGCCAAACCCCGGCGCCAACAGTAATCCGGTTGGTGCACTGACCATTACGGACTCCGCGTCTACCAGCTATGGGATTACAAGTGTCGTCACAGGAGGAGCACGTGGGTTCCACAGCACCACTGGTAGCCTCGTGGGGATTGGACGTTCCTCCTTGATTCACTATTCGACCGATTCATTCGCTGATGCCGCTGCAGTCGCCCTGCGCGCCCTGAACGCCGAAAACTCGGCCTATCCTCTTTGTCGTCGACGGCACAGAACGGCTGATGGTGCAGTCGGCATTGGAAAAAGCGGTTTTCTTCGCCGTGCCACGAGTTCTTCCTCTGGCGGAGGCGGTTGTTCCAGCCGCAACGGTCACGGCTCACAGGTCAGCGTGATGGACAATGTGTGTCCCACTGTGTCACTCAACCCAGAATTTTTGCAGGGTTGGTACGGAATGACTGATCCATCACCTTACAATAAAACTGTGAGACACTCACCCTATGTTCACTCAGAAGGCATCAGACGAGAAGAAAAGCTCACCGGAAGACCCGATGTGGTTCGAAAATCAGACAAAAGAGATCACGGGGCACTCGAACTCATTCCTATGCTTCCTAGAGAATCCCTGGAGCAAACCGAGGTCGGGCCTCATTATCTTGTGAACGGCCCGACTTCATGCACCGGCACCGCACAACCTACCTCTGGTTCCCTGTGTCAAACTACCTCAGCGGTCTTACGGTAAGTTGTTTAATGATGGAATTCATTTTGTGCCCACACTTCGGTTGTTTACTTAGTCCTATATCCGAGCTACTTCTCACATGCGCTTCAAGTTATCTTTGATGGAAATACAAATGTTTTCGTCGCAACTTCAAGCTCTTTTTAAGTAGTCGAATAATCTTATTCTTCTTCACGTTTCGCCAGTTCCTTGAACCTGTTGCCAAATTTACCCACGTCTGTCGGTATTATTCTTTTAGCCACCTAGACTAAGGTAGTTAACTCATCCCCATCGCCAAACACTGGTGTCTTTTCGCTGACAGTAGGGATAACAAACACAGCCACTCGGTTCACGATACAGCCACTTCCCAAATCAGAAGACAACTGCCTCTGACGGAAATGGTATGGAGAACCTGGAAGACACTATGTACAGCCAAAATGTGAGGTCAGAACAAATAGTTCGTGAGCGAATGAACTAATTGAAAGTTCCTGACCATAGCAGCTACTAGATGCGCGAAAGCTCGCTTGTTGACTGCTCAAGTCGTGCGCTTACTGGTGGGCTTCAAGACAAATCATCCTCGTTGGTCCACTTCAGTGTGAAGTGATGGCAAGGGCTTACTCATTGGCTATCTAATCAGCTACAGGCGGTGTACAACCAATTTTCTTCAGGCTGCTTCAGAGAGGAGCTGGCTTCGAGGACTGCTACGGAAGGGCTCCGTAACACCCAGTCGATGAACTTGTTCTATAACACTGGTTGCTAAAGAATGCATTTCTAGCATAGTATACGGTTCTTCTTTTAACACGACTCGATGGGGTGTATACTTACTGCGACTTCTGGTCACCTTTCACTAACGGAGTATGACAGGATTGCGCTATGTTATCTTTGATTTTCAAGTTTTTCATTATAAAGACCATGTTTGGTGTTCCAGAAGGCTTCTGAAACTTTGGCACAGAGGTATCTACATCTCATTGATGACCCTCGGAGACTTCAACCCATACTGAACGGCCCTCAGAATGCTACTTGATTTTGGCAACCGGTGCCACTATTGTAAACGAAGTATATGGGTATTCGCCGATCCGTGATATTTATGGCACCGTCGAGGTATCTCTCACACCAATGGTAGGAGGCTACGCATTGCCCCAGTGTAGCTGTACGACGACGAATTCTGCGCGATTCGCGCGAGATGTATGAATTCACTTTGGCTCTCAATAGTTCATGTTTACAGGCCTTCATTCGTGTGTTATAGAATACTCGGCTCGCGGCGATTAAGTCAGGCGTTTTTTCTCAGAAAGTGTGATCCTTATTTAGATGACTCGGTTCTATTCTCTACTCGTGTAATGCGAGTGTTTACCTCACTTTATCTGAACTTGATCACGAGGTGATCACTGAATTCCCATTTAACTGTCGTCCATCTCATATGCATTCGTGTTCAATACTTTGAGGGCCAAGAGTGATGTTCTCTTGAGACGGTGGTGCGAGGCATTATCTATGGGATGTAGTGTGTGCATATTCGTTTAGATTCATGTGGCACACGGAGAGGTGCACCATAATGAAAACACCAAAAAAATTACTTTTGATCGAGATTTGCCACAGCTACACTCAGCTAGACCGCTGCTGTGCATTTAATCTGGATCCATCCTTTCACTACTCCCTAAAGATAGTTGGCTTTTTTCCATAACCGTTGCACTTAGTATCACCCATTTTCATATTTCAGATGGCTCCATGTGTCTTGTAGACTTTGCTGGTGGGATTTTACTGAGGCCTAAACTCATCATACCTCTCGTTCTTCATTTAGGTCTTTATCCGCTGAACACTTGCTATCCGAGCAGAATCGCTGCAAAGTGGTCTACGCATGCACTAAAAGTGCACCCGAAAATCGTCCCATTCCTATTCACGAGATCGATAAACAATGTACTGACCCTAATCTGTTCTCAGACTGTGATGCCTCTAGGAGATTTCACTCGGGACGCCACTCTTCCGGACACACCCCATCCACCTCAACCGGCTTACCCAGCACTCGTTCGGTTGTTGGTAATGCGTCAAGCTTACTGAAGTCCATCTTACGGGTGCTTACGCGTACACACAAGAGTACCGCTCCTCCCCTAATCACACGCAATGTTTTACGAACCACCAGGTCGTCCTTATCGTGTCGCGCTTTAGCCGATCCGCTATCCCGGTTTCCCAATGATTCGCAACACGTGTCCACTTTTTGTCCTCCCCTCATGGCAGCCCAGCTGTCCGTCAGCTGTGCTCAGTTGCCAGGGCACTCAGCACCAGTGGTCTCGGGCCTGTCAGCACCACCTGTGATAAATTCGGCTACCAGCGAACACCACTTCTTCCCCACATGCAGTCTGACGGACGTCGCTTCTGATCACCCTAATCTGGAGACAGTCATCACGCCTAACACATCCGCCCCGCATTGTGTGATCGATGTTTGTCCCGTCGAATCCGATGTGTCTAACCTGTCATCCAAGGCACCTAGTTTGTCCAAACCACTCAGTCAGGAGCAACCATCTTCCACGCCCTCGCCGCATCGTCAAACATCTCGTGATGCTGCGTCAGTGATGAGTGATTCACCTGGTTTTTACCTCGTTTGATCTTACTTTTACCCGATAACACTACCAAGTCTCCCGGTACAGCGCCAACATTTTTCAGCCACCCGAAACCCCCATTTGCTGCTGTTCTTTTTTTGATCCCACTTCATAGTTCATTCCCACGAGTATGATTATTCTTCATTCACTGCTCTGGTGCTCCGTTTGTACGCCTTCGCATTGCCACTTGTGAATTTAGAGATAACCGCACCCATCCTCTATCTTTTACATAGTATTTACCTTATCGTATAGACATGTGTGTATCGCTGCGCTTTTTCTCTCTCTCTCTTTCCTTTTGCCTTGAATTCACTACTCTTTGTCGGTCATGTCAACCATCGTGGCTTCTTCATTTATACATCCCGTGGATCTCCCATCTACACGCAATCGCATCATGCATCTTCATGGTTGTCTGTTTTCTCTTCAACTTTTTCACTCAGAGAAAATACCTAAGCTTTACTTGACTCCTTTCTCTTTTGTTGTACAGCATAAAACAAGCTCCACTACCATTTTTTTGTACCCGGTATTCCATCCGGCCTTGCGATCTCTGTTCGCACTCGGGCGGTGGCATACAGATATGTGTATATGCTTGTGTATATCTCTATGTCTCTTCTCATCTCTTTTCTTCAAGTAATCTCCGGTTTTGCTTGATTTCAAACTGCATCAACTCAGGATTGTTTTCGTTTCCTCCCTCTTCACTTAACCTTTGATTTCTTTGGGCATACTTGGAATATGCCTTTCGTTTCGTTATTTACAAGACTGTCCGATTATTTGCAGAAAAATAAACGTGCATTTCAGCTCGACGCCGACTACCTTGCAGCGCAGATCTCAGGCGCTCTCCTATGTACCTCTGGGTCACCATGTGTCTTTTTGCCCTCTCCTTGCATGCAGTGTCTACGTAGGCGTTCGTTACCCTCCTCTTCCCAATTTGTTGGCGTTTTAATCCAATTTGGAATATTTTTACTTTTTCGAATAGATTCTGGCTTTTAAAGAAGGTTTTTTCTGTTTATTTGGGACGCATTCATCATTAGCTTCTTTGCGTGTTTGCTGAATGTAAGAGACACAATTCAACTATTGTTCCGCAATGCAAAAGGTTGGATATAAGAACAGACGAGGTCCTTGACATTATGGAATACAAAAGTACAGGTTGCAGACTGTTTTGTGATACAAGATGCTTCGACACTGAAATTGTGGTTAGAAGGGGAAGGTAAGTTAGATGGGGATGGACGATGAAACAAGCAACAGAAACGCCATTGGGGCCGGCTCTTCGCCATATCAGCAAGTGTATTCAACCAAACCTGTTTATCGTCCTTAGGACGAGCCAGGCAGTCGGGATGCAACGATCGACGCCAACTTCGAAGTGAGAGTTTTCATTCCTGTCAACTAAGTCATCGCTTGGCCTTCACTTCCGCTATCCACACCCCAATCGCGCAAATAACGCACGTCGCAGGATTCGATGTGCTGGCATGCGCCACTGGTGGCCAAGCCATGGGAACCTGCTGCGTGATGTAACGTTGCTGAGCAGTTCACTAGCTCTTCCTGCACCAAATGCGCGACGCCCAATGCACTTATTGCTCATCTGATGCTCCCATCAGACGAGCTAAGCTGCAAAGACAGCGATAATCGACCGTAACTGGCCTCTTTACCTTTGTTAGGTTAGCTTCCGCAACCGTACAGGATAGCTGAACGGACGGGTACATTGTAAACTGCACTTTAGGATGATAATGATGTCGCGCCGGCGCCAGTGGTAATCGATATTGGCGGAATTTCTAGAGCTTTTGTTATACGGTTTATGATCTTAACTAAATAAATAATTTTATTCCCGACTACGCGGGACACGCCATTATAGGCATGATCATGGAGATGCGGCGGTGTACATTACATGGACCAAAAGCTGATAAGAAGTGATGGATCATTTCAACCGTATATGGAGTGATTGATCCGATATTCGACATATCTAATGAGAGGATAGAGTAAATTCGAACTAAACTGACGCGTCCAAGCAGTGGTGCAAAATATGTTACAAAATGCTTTCACAGTTGGTTAGTTAAATCGAAGACTGGAGGTTACGCTCGACTGTGTGGCACTGCTTTGCTGCTAAAAGAATATTCTGCTATTCGCACTCATCCTATCTCGCAAATTAAATCCACGTGTGTCCTTTTCGCACCACGTTCTGGCAGATGAACGGAGATTGTTTTCTCGCGTGCCACGTGGTGGCAGGGAAATGTGGGCAATAAAAAATAAGTTACGTCAAATCGCTAAAATTGTGGTTTATCGCTATTTTAAGTGAGGTCATATGAAATGTGTCGTTTTTGGTTGTTATTTCTTATTGCACCCATGGAGGCTGACTTCAGGAGCATCTTTATTGGACATTCGTTCCATACCTTTGCTGCATTCTATTCGCTGTTTACGTCGTTTATGCATGGCAACAACCTTACTTTTGTCTGCTATAGTAGCACAAATAGCAAATGTTTTAACGTGAAGTATGATGGCACTGTTTATAAATGTGTGCGCTGTAAGCCCCGCAAAACGAGAACCAAATGAACACGGCGAGATTTGTATGTGCTTGAAAATTCTTGACCATATTATTTCAGTTCTCGAGACATCCATTGCAGCGCTCGCGTTAATGTTGCCTGACCTAGTTGTAAGCTAAAGATGTTATCATTCGATCTGGCCCATGATCATCTATGCAATCGCTTCCTTTTCGAAAAACCCTCTAAACCGGCGACTTACAGAGGAGAAATTCAATCAATCAATCTGCTGACCTCTTTCAATACAACACCCCAACCTGCGATATAATGCAATATGTCGAGAATATATTCGGGAAACACGTCACTAGTGACGACGTCCGTAATGTACACCGCAGAATACGCTCGCCCGTATCATGTAGGTACAATTTCAATATGCGGCAGGCCCTAGGGCATGAAACAAGCTGGTGTCATACAAACCATTTCTGTAAAAGGTCTTAAACACGTGTGCTTTGCTCATAATCAGCAAGTGCAAATGTTTCGGGGAATTCCGCACGTGTGCGTGGATGCAACGCATGATACAAACCGCCTTGGGTACGTATGATATTCGTCGTTAAATTGCACTACACTTTCAACTTGTACCGGTTCTTGATAACGAACGGCAAGGGTTACGGCAGACCAGTGTTTTCTGGGTTCGTGCGTCAGAAAACATTCAAATCGTTAATAAAAATATTCAGTTCATTTCGTAATTCCATGAGTTCTCCGTAGGCACTTTCGTTATGGATAAAATGTTTACTCAAATGCGCGCAGCCCAAGCAGTATTTCATTGTGACATTCTGCTGTTCCATAGCACGTAAGTGAAGCGAATTTTTTATTACTTTCTGTAGACACAGCTCCCGCACACGTTACATAGTTCACCGAATGGCTACAATGAATACGGAGACAGAGTATCCTACGTTTCCGACATTCCCACTGTTCTAGGTTCCAGCAGGATCTTAGCCTACATCAGTAGACGGATCCTCAGTTCGTACGCTATCTAACATCCCACTGGATGTTCATCAAGCGGTATTGGGCGAACTGCGATCAACCGGGATTGGTGCATTTTGGGAACCTCACCGACAGCCCTGTCAAGAATGCGAATCCTAGATTGAAGAAAGTCACACATGCTTTGGACCGCCTTGTTGTGGCTGTGCTTAAACTGTGGAAACTGCCTGAGGTCATACTGAAAGAATTTCAGATGCTGTGTACATATTTTTGTGACAGGCATCAGGTGTATGAAGCTGAGGGTAATGCGTACGTGTAGATTCTAGTAGGTCGTCTCACCACGTACGCTGGCGCCCCCGTTATGCGTCATCTGGCACCCAAGTGAGGTATGCCATCTTGCATGTTTCTACTTCCGCAGTTCGTTGTTCATGGTCATCATCACCGATACGACAATGACTGCGTAAATGACACGTGCCCCTGCGCATTTTGCGAGCACGTATGGCTACCGTGCGTCCATTTATTGTTGTTATAATGCGCCGATCATGCGTTATATATCCGGTACAAGACCAAACGACTAACCGTGAGCGTGCGGGAGAACACACAAAAATAATCTAGGGACACATGCCGCAGGTGAGACAGCTGCGTGCGCAGCCCATAGGATCGCGTTGCATCCCCGACCAAACGTATCTCTCGGAGCCAGGATTTGCAGTAGCTTTAATGTCTGGGTGTGCGATATTTTCGAGTGTTGAAAAAGATACGGAGAAAGTTTTCTGGAACAATGGGTCGAGGTCGTCCGGTAGATGTGTCGCATAAAATTGTGTCATCGGATGGAGACACATAGTGTGGGGATATCTTTAAAGCAGAATCACGGAGTTCCGAAAATCTCTGGTCGTTTGATTGCGCGGCGGTCATAGCAGACAAATCGATTGCCTGCCCGGCAGTGCCGATCGCAGATACTCTTGAAAGCGCATCAGCGGCTAGATTTTGTTGACCAGAAATGTGTCGGATATCAGTCGAGAATTAGGCAATGTTATCCAGCTGGCGCATGTCACGTGGTGAGTGTCGAGCTGATTGATTTCGGAATGCGTATATAAGCGGCTTGTGATCAGTGAAGATAATGGTGTTACCTTCAAGGACGTGTCGGAAATGTCGAACGGTAGAGTAAACAACCAGCAGTTCGCTACTGAAAATGCTGTACTTGACTTCGGCAGGTTGTAGACGCCTAGAGTAGAATGCAAGAGGTTTCCAGCAGCCATCTGTTTGTCGCTGTACGACGGCGCCAATGGCGGTGTCCGACGCGTCAACAGCTACACTAAGCGGAGCGTTCAGATCGAATTGGTTAAGCATAACGGCTTTAGCTATGGCCTTCACTAGCATTGAACGCTTTGGCAGCAGCAGCGGTCAGTTTCACATGACCGATTTTGCGTCCTCGAAGTAGGTCGGTTAGTAGACTTAGCAAATTGGCACGGTGTGGAATTAAATGTCTATAATAGTTGAGCATGCCGTCGAAACGGCGAACAGCGGCTAACATAGTCAGGACGGGAAAGTCTGTGGTTGCGCTGACTCTAACGTCTATATGCCGTATGTCATACTGATCATTATAGTGGCCCAGTAATACGACGGAAGGCGGCTGAACTACGCATTTGTCAGCGTTAACAGTGATAATATTAGTGGCCAGCCTATCGGAAAACATCTTGAGATGTTCTGCGTGTTATTCTTTAGAAGCGCTTGCAATTAGGTTATCGTCGATGTGTGGATAGACGAAATCTGGGCCTTTATTGACTGAATCGTTTAAAAGTCTGGCTTGCGTTGCAAAGGCCGAAGGGCATACACAAAAATTCATAGAGCCCATACGGCGTGATTACGGCAGTCTTTTGTGTATCTTCCTCAGCGATTGGAATCTGCTGATAAGCGCGAACCAGATCGATTTTCGATAACACACAGGTACCGCATAGGCTAGCCGTGATGTCCTGAATGTGTGGAATAGGATAGCGGTCGGGAACTGTAACGTTATTAAGCGCGCGGTAATCACCACATGTACGCCGGTCTCCTGACTTTTTGGGCACCATTTGGAGCGGCGACGCCTACGGGCTTTTAGACGGGCGAATGATGTCTAGTTCAAGCATGTGCCCGAATTCTACGCGAGTAATTTCTCGCTTGTCAGGGTTTATTCGCCTGGATTTGGCGGCAACAGGTGGACCTTTGATAACAATTGATGTTTTGCAGCCTTAGTGACGAATGGCAACGGTGCCATTGCACGGAATTCTTGCGGGAACTTGGTATTAGGCATCTGACAGATGGGTGAGCTCGATTGGTTGGCGCATACAGGACTGATTGACTCAATATCGGCCAAAGTACCTTTAACTGCCAGATCTGTTTGACGATCAATCAGACGGTGCTGCTTCGCATCAACAAGCAAATCGAAGCGCTGCAAAAAGTCAATGCTGAGTTAGCGTGCGTACATCTGCGACGAGAAAGATCCATTTAAAAGAACGTCGCAGGTTTAATTTAAGCATGCGCGAGCGTTGATCATACA